ACACGCCCCCTGGGCACCACACGCCCCCCTGGGCACCACACGCCCCCCTGGGCACCACACGCCCCCCTGGGCACCACACGCCCCCCTGGGCACCACACGCCCCCCTGGGCACCACACGCCCCCCTGGGCACCACACGCCCCCCTGGGCACCACACGCCCCCTGGGCACCACACGCCCCCCTGGGCACCACACGCCCCCCTGGGGCACCACACGCCCCCTGGGCACCACACGCCCGGCCCTGTCACCTCAGATACCCGCCCAGACTGGGTTCTCTAAGACGCCGACGCGCGGCGCCGTCATCTGAAGATCTGGAAAGAGTCTTTGAGTACTCGAAGAGGTAACTGTAAATAAGTTCCTGGGTGTATATAACGTTCTTGCCCTGGGTATATTATATATTGCCCAGAGTATATACCTCTATGCCCAGGGCAAATATAGTGTGCCTAGGGCTTCCCAAAACCCTCTTCCAATTATAAAAGAAAGAGCCTAATGGGTTTTTGCTTCATACCCCATTAAGAGTCCCCCCCCCTCCTAATACCCCCCTTTTTGGGTAATTTCCCTGTGCCTCCTATTTTTATTCCTTAATCCCATAAATGGGGTTTACTGGAGTCCGTCTAAACATTTTAACAACAAATCCCTTAATGGGTTTTGCAGGGGTTACCCATTTAGAGCTTACACGGGGGGGGGGGGGGGGGATTGAGCCCCTCCTTTGGGGGTTTAATCAGTAGAGATCGACCCATCAAGGCGCTTAATAAAGTTAGATCAGAGGTAATGGAAGGCAGAAGTGAGGCATTACTTTCTCGGTTCTTAATGAATCTCCAAACTTGGCATAGGTTAGTGGACCTGCCGGGAGCTGGGTCTGGTGGCTCTCTCTCTCTCTCTCTCTCCCCCCCTCCCTCCCCCTCCCTCCCCCTCCCCCTCCCCCCCTCTCTCTCCCCCTCCTCGTGTGCCCCACGTTACTGTAAGTCTCTCCCCTCATCCTATCTTCTAAGTATTGATTTTCCTCCAGCCGGTGTTCGTTCCTCTAAGCTTTGTGTTCTCTGTCCAACACGTTCGTCTCCACTCCCGTCCAACGCCCGTCCACATTGACCGTCCGTGAACCGGTATCACCCCCGGGGAGGTTTACCGAGGCCGGGGTTTACTTTTCAGGATTGCAACACGCAAGGTCGACTGTAAACTCAAGTAAAGTAAACTAGGGAACATCGCAGGCGGCAAGAGGGTCGAGTAATAGCCGTTTTTCCTTCAAAATGAACAAGTAGATCGGAGGAAAAAACAAAGATGCCCATAATCTTGAACAAGGACAATAGGGTTTCGAAGCAGCGTCTTAAGTAGGGCTGATCCCATCTCAGGAGGCTCGTTAAAGGAGGGAATATAAACCAACTGACAGTCTTATCATTTGTATCGTCTCTACTTTAATCTCCGTAGATTTTCTTCGCCTCTCTTGACAGAATCTTGACAGGAGGTTAAGGAAGGAGAGGGTGAGTGGGTCGACGTTGACCTCCATGTTGGGGGAACTTCGGTTAATATGTATTGTTTAAAACAGGGGGTAAAGCAAGGGGGGAAGGGGTGGGCTTGTATGGATATACCAATCAAATAACTTTATTCATAAATGGTAGTACTTTTAATCATTTAGAAAGCGTACATAAGGAGTACAGTGCGATAATTACGCAAGTGTCACAGTAAGAATATTGTAGGTAGACTCAGTAGGATGCAATAAGAACAGTGTTAGCGTAAGAATAGTGGTTATCTTGAGGTTATCTTGAGATGATTTCGGGGCTTTTTTTTTTTTTTAGTGTCCCCGCGGCCCGGTCCTCGACCAGGCCTCCACCCCCAGGAAGCAGCCCGTGACAGCTGACTAACTCCCAGGTACCTATTTTACTGCTAGGTAACAGGGGCATTCAGGGTGAAAGAAACTTTGCCCATTTGTTTCTGCCTCGTGCGGGAATCGAACCCGCGCCACAGAATTACGAGTCCTGCGCGCTATCCACCAGGCTACGAGGCCCCTAGTGAGGGGAATAGACAGGAAGGAGAGGCAGTACGATCTAATACACATACACACAGTTGAGAGGCGGGACCAGAGAGCCAGAGCTCAACCCCCGCAAGCACAACTAGGTGAGTACACACACACACACACACACATACATGCACACACATACATGCACACACATACATACACACACACACACACACACACACACACACACACACACACACACACACACACACACACACACACACACACACACACACATACACACACATACACACACACACACACGACCAGGCAACAAAAATAAGGCAAGAAAGAGAAGGGTGGGCAGACTGCATATTTTTGGATTGTCAGAAAGCCTTTGATACAGTGCCACACAAGAGGCTAGTGCGAAAGTTGGAGATGCAGGCTGGAGTGAGAGGGAAGGTACTCCGGTGGATAGAGGAATACCTAAGCAACAGGAGACAACGAGTCTGTGTGAGGGGTGAGGTCTCAGATTGGCGAGACGTCACAAGTGGAGTCCCGCAGGGGTCAGTCCTTGGACCTATACTGTTTCTGGTATATGTAAATGATCTCCCAGAGGGTATAGATTCGTTCCTCTCAATGTTTGCCGACGATGCAAAAATTATGAGGAGGATTGAAACAGAGGATGATAGTAGGAGGCTACAAGATGACCTGGATAGACTGAGTGAATGGTCCAACAAATGGCTGTTGAAGTTCAACCCGAGTAAATGCAAAGTAATGAAACTAGGCAGTGGAAACAGGAGGCCAGGCACAGGATACAGAATAGGAGATGAAGTACTTAATGAAACAGACAGAGAGAAAGATCTAGGAGTTGATATCACACCAAACCTGTCTCCTGAAGCCCACATAATGAGAATAACGTCTGCGGCATATGCGAGGCTGGCTAACATCAGAACGGCGTTCAGGAACCTGTGTAAGGAATCATTCAGAATCTTGTACACCACATATGTAAGACCAATCCTGGAGTATGCGGCCCCAGCATGGAGCCCGTACCTTGTCAAGCACAAGACGAAGCTGGAAAAAGTCCAAAGGTATGCTACTAGACTAGTCCCAGAACTAAGAGGCATGAGTTATGAGGAAAGGCTGCGGGAAATGCACCTCACGACACTGGAAGACAGAAGAGTAAGGGGGGACATGATCACAACCTACAAAATCCTCAGGGGAATCGACCGGGTAAACAAGGACGAACTTTTCAACACTGGTGGGACGCGAACAAGGGGACACAGGTGGAAGCTGAGTACCCAAATGAGCCACAGAGACGTTAGAAAGAACTTTTTCAGTGTCAGAGTAGTTAGCAAATGGAATGCATTAGGAAGTGATGTGGTGGAGGCTGACTCCATTCACAGTTTCAAATGTAGATATGATAGAGCCCAATAGGCTCAGGAATCTGTACACCAGTTGATTGACGGTTGAGAGGCGGGACCAAAGAGCCAGAGCTCAACCCCCGCAAGCACAATTAGGTGAGTACAATTAGGTGAGTACACACACACACACACACACACACACACACACACACACACACACACACACACACACACACACACACACACACACACACACACATACACACACACACATACACACCAGAAATACAAACTTTTGCAGTGTGTTAGAGTTGCCAATACGTGGAACAGGTTAGACGTAACAGTTGCTGAAGCTAATTCGATTCAGCGTTATAAATGTAAAAATGATAAGAGCGTGAGAAATGAGTCCTTAATCAAAGACTCCTTAATCTTGCCTTAATCAATGAACGTTCGGAAGGCGGGGGGGGGGGCCCAGGAGCCTAGCTCGACCCTGCAAGCACAACTAGGTGAGTACGTACACACACTCACAGGCACGTTTGGTCACATCCTCCCCCCCCCCCCTCTGGGTCCTGTCACCCCCCCCCCCCCTTGGGGGTCATTAAGGCCATTGGTGTAACCACTGTCCCTCTACTATGACCCCCTCTCCCATTAGTGGAGAACAGTCCCCCCTGCTCTCATCAAGGGGTAGTTAGTGGTTACCTCCCCCCCCAGGGGTTTCTAGGGGTCATCCTCCCCCTCACGGAAGTGCCGGGAAATCTTGTCTTGAATAATTTTTTTTATAACGGTTTAGAACTACAAATAACAGCAAACCGGTTCAACATACATCGTGTCAGCAAGGTGGACAGCCCGCCTGCTATCACAACATCGTGTCAGCAAGGCGGACAGCCCGCCTGCTATCACAACATCGTGTCAGCAAGGTGGGCAGCCCGCCTGCTATCACAACATCGTGTCAGCAAGGCGGACAGCCCGCCTGCTATCACAACATCGTGTCAGCAAGGTGGACAGCCCGCCTGCTATCACAACATCGTGTCAGCAAGGTGGACAGCCCGCCTGCTATCATAACATCGTGTCAGCAAGGTGGACAGCCCGCCTGCTATCATAACATCGTGTCAGCAAGGTGGACAGCCCGCCTGCTATCACAACATCGTGTCAGCAAGGTGGACAGCCCGCCTGCTATCATAACATCGTGTCAGCAAGGTGGACAGCCCGCCTGCTATCATAACATCGTGTCAGCAAGGTGGACAGCCCGCCTGCTATCACAACATCGTGTCAGCAAGGTGGACAGCCCGCCTGCTATCATAACATCGTGTCAGCAAGGTGGACAGCCCGCCTGCTATCATAACATCGTGTCAGCAAGGTGGACAGCCGCCTGCTATCACAACATCGTGTCAGCAAGGTGGACAGCCCGCCTGCTATCACAACATCGTGTCAGCAAGGTGGACAGCCCGCCTGCTATCACAACATCGTGTCAGCAAGGTGGACAGCCCGCCTGCTATCACAACATCGTGTCAGCAAGGTGGACAGCCCGCCTGCTATCACAACATCGTGTCAGCAAGGTGGACAGCCCGCCTGCTATCATAACATCGTGTCAGCAAGGTGGACAGCCCGCCTGCTATCACAACATTCGCACAATAGCGTTACCACATTTCCCTGTGAATAATGCCTTGTATATCTCTGTGATGCAGCTGTTTCGTCGGCAGCCTCGTGTCGTAGGATCTAGCAAAGTTCTCCAATTGTCAGTTCCCCAACCCGTCCTCCTAATAGACCGTCACATTTTGACGTACACTCTACCTAAGGCTCAAAAATCGTCGTATTAGAAAATAGCAGCGGCTGGCGAAATTGACATACTGTCCCGTTTTCTGTTTTAGGTCCTCTGGTAGGTTAGGATAAGGGCACTTTAGTACGACGGTTTCTTGACGTTGAGGAACCTTAGGAGGACGGACTGTTATCAGGGATAGGGCTGGAGAAGAGGGATTCAGGGATTGTTTAGGGGCTGGAGGGAGAGTCAGGGACTGTTTAGGGGCAAGAGGGAGAGTCAGGGACTGTTTAGGGCTTGTAGGACAGTTTTAGGAATCCCGCCCTAAATGTATCTGATATCCAGCGTTGAAATATTAGCCCAGTGTCTCCCGCCACAAAAGTTTACTTCTAGATCTATTTCATTATCATAATCTATTAATAAAATGTGTGAATGTGTGCATCAAGTAGTGGCGGGGGGGTTGAGATCAGGGCTAGAGACTGGTACCGACGCAGACGGGATTTGAAAGATAGGAAGATGATTGAAATTGAGGGGAGAATGGGCTGACAGACCAGGGCACGTAGGGGACCATATGACACCCGTGTGACACCAATGTGACACCCGTGTGACACCCGTGTGACACAACACAAGCGGTAACAACGGCTAGGGGGGGAGGGGAGACAAGGCTGTGACCCTCAGCAAGTATTCATTCTGGTGTTTCTTCAGTGACGCCCACTGTAGAGGCTCTAAGGGCATCCTCTAGACCATTGACTGAGAGAC